GGAGGGTGGACGGGATCCAGTAATAGATTCAGTAGTGTATCCACTAAGGCTCAGGTGGGTCTGGTTTAAGAAGGCCCAGGTTATATCAGGAGGGCTGAGGAGGGGCAAGGTCACAGTCTCTGCCTCTGGGGATCAAGCAGTAAAGATCCAAGACCAGACACCTCCTCTGAGCCTGAAGCTTCACACTGTGCCCCACCACCCCAGTGGCATACACCCAGTTTCACCACACAAAAGACATTCCCCAGGAGGAGGGGCAGTGCAGGGTTGAGGACAGAGGCAAACGTGCCTGGGATTCTGTCTGCTGGACATGCAGAGTGGACAGCCAGGCAGAAAGAACAATCCCTTGGAGATCACTTCTCACCCTGGATCGCAGCCCACTGCAGGGTTACCTTACCCAGGAGCTCAGTAGTGGTGATGTCTACAGGGACAGAAGCAGCTGCCACACTTCTCTCTGAGCTGGGGCAGGTGGTCCATGCACAGTGCTGTCTCTGTGCGAATTACAGCTAACATCTGGACACTCGCCCATGGGCCAGAGTCTGGGGAGCATGGGCCTTTATACCATAGTATGTAACCTGCTTTCAGAGCACCATTGGAGGGGAGAAACTGGGCACAGAGACATTACAGGCTTTGCCAAGGTAAGAAGTAGCAGAGCTGGGCTCAGGGTCCAGTTGCGGTCTCTGCTCAAGCTGTGTTTCTACCCTGGTGCCGTGCAGATCCCCAGGGGTTCCATGGGTGGGGCAGGATGACCCATTTTGAGTGGACACAGGCTAGCATGCAGCTGGAACTCAGATACCTGCTGCTGTGTTGAGGACGCATCCCAGGAAACAGAGCCAGAGGGTTTCTGCTGTGTTCCCCATGTCAGCACCTGCGGGGGAGGAGACCTGGTGACTCCAGGGCCTCAACCAACATTCCAGGAGTAGCAAAAAAGGACATTGTCCAGCCTGCACTTTGAGACCCTGGTTGAGGAACAGTAACATAGGACAGAGTTTGTCACCCTCTGCTTTATTATGTTTATCCATGATCTGCTGGGAATAGACCCAGGACACCCCCAACTGGCAATGCCAGAGAGCCATCCCTCTGCCTGCTCATGACTGGTGGCTGGTGAGCTTTTCTGCTAAGCCCTGACCCATGCAATGTAGAATGTTTTACACCCGGTGCCAGCTGCTCTACCCTTCCCCAGTAGGAAAAACCAAAAGGCCCATTGTTCATCCAGGTCCTGGGAGAAGACAGTGTGAGCTCTGTCTTTGAGGACAGAGGAGGCAGAGAGACTGACGAACGAGGGGCAGTAAGGTCCAGAGACCGAGAGGCAGAGACTGAGGCTGAACCCTGGAGCAGGGAAGATGGGGCCCAGGCACGTATGTCTCAGGGTCATGGAGCGGAAGGAGACTGAGATGGAAATCAAGGTGCTCTCAGCACAGTTTGAGGCGCAGCCCTGTGCCATGTATCCCACTAGCAGGAGACACTCGGTGACTCATTCTCACAGCCATCTCAGGTGCCAGGTCCTGATATGATCCCCATTCCACGGAGGGTGCAGACACAGACAGACTGAGCAACAAGTGGAGAGGGCAGTGGAGTCTGTGCTCTTAAAACCTCCCTGGTACTGGGCATGGTGGCCCTGCCTGTAATCCCAATGCTCCGGAGGCTGGAGGATTGCAAATCCCTCTCTGTACACTGAGTCAAAGCGATGCTCTAAGGTGGAGAGAGAGACACACACCCCGCAGGAGAGAGACAAGAAAGAGGCAGAAATTGAAAGGGAGGGAAGCACAGAGCAAGCCTTGTGCTGGAGAAACTCGTGGTTTCTCACCTGGCTTTAGTTTCTGTGTCTCAGTGTTCAGCTGTCCTGTGTGGGGCTGTGATCTGTGGGCTGCTGACTCTCACAGAATTTGTAGGTTTTATAAGGATCCGCATGGGGGCTGGCCTACCCTGGGGCCGCTGGAACCTTAGACCCTGAAGGCTGAAAGATTAGAGTCCTGAGCACAGCGCCCCTGCCTGTCCTGCTTCTAATGAGATCAGGGCACAGGGAGCAGGGCTCTGGGCCGTGAGGAAGGAAGGGAGTGGGCTTGGGCCATGAAAGACATGACCACCTACATCTGGTCTCTCAACCTCTCTGTCTCTCAATTCTGATTCCTCCTCTGTACTGCTCTTTCCTACACTTAGCCTCTTGTCTCATAGACTTTCTGCTTTGGATTCCTTCCTTTTGAAGCTGTGTATTAAATCTACATTAAATGAAGCAAACGTACATGAAATCAAGACAATCTGTGTCTTTGTGTGTATCGCCTTGGGGATTGAATCCAGCATCTTCTCACTGAGCTCCATCCCAAAACATTTTTTAAAGTTTCATTTTGAGGCAGTCACATTACTTCCTCAAGTTGCGCATGCTGTGCTCAAACTTGAGAGACTCCTGCTTCATTTTCCCAGAGCTGGGCTTACAGGCATGCAGCATCACAGGCAGTGTGTTTTTCTGTCCTAGGCATCTAACAGAACCGGTGTGGCACACCCTACCCCAATTCCTGCCACACCAAATCCCAAACCTTTGAACACACCAGGCAGGTTTGTACCTGCCTCAGGCTGTGAACTAGCTATTCCTTTTGTCTGATGTCTCCCTGGGTCATTTTCTTTTTCCTTTATGCCCATGTGCAACTGTGCAGGGGTCCCAGTGGCAGCCACATCTCGCATACCTGCCTAGGCCCTTCCTCAGTTCCATTCAGCTCAACTCACCCCAGCTCATTGCAGAGTTCAAAGCGGATCAAGCTATAATGAATGTCACCTGGATCCCTCAGGCTGAGGGCTCAGGGCCTCAATAGCGGCCCACTCGGGCAGACCAGTCACAAGCCCCCATAGTAACCTGTCCTTCTGACCCATGAGCCATAAATGTGTTTGCACATCCCAAGCCTAGGCATCTGGAAGCCTGCATCACAGAACTATGGAAGACCCTGGCACTTTCTGGTGTATTATTTAAAGACGGGCAGGTGAATAGGTACAGCTGAGAGCCCAGTGACAAGGTCAATGTTGGGGGGAGGGCTCCCACACAGGCTGCAGGTGTTGCCTCAGAGCTAGGCTGGGCCTTTTCTCCTCTGAGAACCATGAGTGTTTCAGAGGACCCACTGACTCCTGAGTCAGTCTGCAGCCCTGTCCCCCTGAAAGGATGGGGAAGGGCCTGGGTCCTCGCCATGGCTCATCTTGCTGTGCTCCCTGAGAGTCTCCTCATCGTTCAAATATGCTCCTGTTGTCACTGCTCTGTGTGGGGACTTGTTTACAGGTAACTGAATAGCATAAGATTAAAGGCACCAACCTTACCTGCAAGTTGTGAGTAGATGAGGACATTTTTTTCTTATTTTTTCTTTTTTGTCTTCTCTTTGTGTTCAGATCCCATGGTGTAGTATGTATGTAGTTGAGGAACTTTGTTATCATACTGCACATATATTAAGCTCCTATGGTCACAGTTGCCTGCAGTTTTACCCTAGATCTCAGCACCGTTTTCCTGTCTGGATTCTTCCCTTTGCAGGACTGTTTGCTCCACTCCCTTATACCTGGTGCTGTGTGTCCTTGCTGTGGTGATGGAGGAAGTAGAAGTAAAACCAGAGCATGAATGTACAGGCCAGGGTTTCAGTTATGAGTAAGAGAAAATGATCAGGGTGTTAGCTTGAGGCACTGACAAACATCAAGTGGATCCTCTGACAAGGAGAGTAGGAGGAGCCATGGCAGAGCTTCCGCTGGAGAAAGGGCAGGGACTGCAGGTTTGAAGAGCTGGTTCATCCTGGCACATGGGGGTGCTACGTGCTGAGGTACTGCTGATCCTTATCTCAATCATGGCTTCATTCAGGTTGAAGTCTCCTGATCTGAGGGACAGGTTGATTTGCATGGGATGAGAGTCTCCTCTTGGGGTGGTTGAAGTCAGAGGAGACTGTTAACCAAGGCGACCTTAACTTTAGATGCCTGGAGA